CAAAGTCAACAAGCTCAGCAACCAAAGCAGTCGCAGCAGCAGACTCAAACGAGGGGTCAGTGACAACAGTGGCGAGCAGACGCGTGACAGTAGGGTGCTCAGCACGAAACCGGTCAGACTCAGGGTCCGGAACGTGAGGCAAGGAAGACGCAGGAGGAGACGGCAGAGAAACAGACTGCGGAACAGAGGAAGGACGACGGACGACAAGGTGTGCGGTGGGGACAGGCGGCGAACGCGGACACGGAACACGACGACCGGTACGACTAGGACGAACAGGCGAGACAGGACGCGACGCAGGCTCACGACGCTCAGCAAGACTACCAGTCTGCTTAGTGTAAGGAGAAGGAGCAGGCAGCGGTGAGCCAGGCCCTAACGGAAGACCAGTAGACGACGGGAGAGTAAGAACCTGACGAAGAGCAGAGTCAGGCGGCGGCAGAGACGACGGAGACGGCGGAGCGAAGAACAGGCGTGGCGGCGCAGCTGCACCAGAACCGGCAGCTCCAGTAGCTTCAGTACCCCCAGCAGCTCCAGCACCTCCAGCAGCAGAACCGACACCTCCAGGCCCAGGGTCTCCAACCCCAGTGCCTCCAGCAGCAGCACCCCCAGAACCAGTACCTCCAGTCCCAGGGTCTCCAGCCTCCACGTCTCCAGCAGCAGCACCCCCAGAACCAGCACCTCCAGTCCCAGGGTCTCCAGCCCCCACGTCTCTAGCAGTAGCACCCCCAGAACCAGCACCTCCAGTCCCAGGGTCTCCAGCCTCGGTGTCTCCAGAAGCAGCACCTCCAGACGCAGCACCCCCAGCCCCAGCAGCTCCAGTACCTCCAGTACGAGCACCTCCGGGACCAGCGACTCCAGCACCTCCAGTAGAAACAGTACCAGCACCACTCCCAGCTCCAGGGACGGCAGCAGAAGTACCTCCAGCAGTAGAGCCCCGGGCTCCAGCAGCGCGACCCTGACGGCGACCGTACCAGTCGTGCAGCTGCTGCGAGGTGAGAGGCACACGTGGACGAAGGCGGCTACTCCAAGGAGACCGCGCAACAGCAGACTCTGAACCCTCAGCGCCAGCACCCTCAGCAGCTCCAGCGCCACCAGCACCAGGACCTCCAGCAGCTCCAGAACCTCCAGCGCTAGCACCCTCAGCAGCCCCAGAACCACCAGCTCCAGCACCTCCAGACCCCTCACACGCAGGCTCAGCACCTCCAGGCTCGACACCCTCAAGCTCCGCACCCCCAGGCTCCTCACCCCCAGGCTCAGCACCCCCAGACTCAGCACCCCCAGAAGTAGCACCCCGAGCAGGACCACCCCCAGCAGGACCTGAGTCACCAGTGACCTCAACCAGCGCAGGGAAGGGAGGAGGGTCTACCTGAGACACACCTGAGGGAGCAGGACCTGGAGCGGGGAGAGGGTCGACCTGGGGAGCACCTGGAGCGAGGAAGAGCGGCGGGGGAGGGAGAGGGGCAGTGCGGTAGGGGAAGAGACGGTAAAAGGGAACCGACTCATCGAACGTGACGTCCTGAGACGCAAAGACACGGCGCGAGGTGGGGTGGTAAAACTGCCAACCAGGCGCGTCAGGGACAAAGCCAAGGAAGACACAGGGAACTGCACGGGCGGAGAGCTTGTCCGCGGTGGTATCGCGGACAAAGGCACGAGCACCCCAGACCCGGAAACGCGACGCATCGCCAACCTTCCCCGTCCACAGCAGTGTGGGCGAGGTCTCCGGCAAGGAGACACGGGGCCAGAGGTTGAGCTGATGCGTGGCGTACCGGACCGCAAACGGCCACAGAAAATGGGGGGCAGCCGCATGGATCATGGAGGTACGAGCGACCTCCATGACTAAGCCAATGCGGCGCTCAGCAACCCCATTCTGCTGCGGAGAGTCCGGAAGCGTGAACGACTGGGTGATGCCGTGCTCCGCACAGAAGGCCGCCAAGAGGTCGGAGGAGAACTCACCACCTCTGTCAGAGTGCAGACGCAGGACGGGAAACTCCGTCCCGAACCGCTCGCGGAGCTGGAGACGGGCAGCGCGGATCCAAGGGATCAAAACAGCAGGGACCTCCCCCTTGCTGCGCAGGGGAAAGACCGTGGTGTAACGCGTGTAGTCGTCAACAACCAGCAGGAAGTACCGCTCGTGGCCCTGTCCACGGACGCGGGCTGGGCCCCACACGTCCAGGTGGAGAGTCTGCAGGGGAGCCTCCGTGGGAGGGAACGAGGAGGAGTGAGGAGCGGCGCGCTGCCGCCCCTCGACGCAAGGAATGCAGGGCGGCGCAAGCGAGGGAGGCAGGGCAGGCAAAGACCTGGGCAGACCAGAAACCAGGAAGCGAGAGTGCATGCCACGAAGGCGCTGCACCGAGGGGTGACCAAGGCGGTGGTGCCACAGGAGGGTCTGGTGCGACAAAGCGCGACACTCGCAGGGGGCCGTCGGCTGACCGGACGCAGACGCAGACGTAGACGCAGCTACCTGAGCGGACGCAGTGGTCAGGGTGTACAGACTCGAGCCAGGCGCACGGGAAAACGTGGCCAGGTGTCGGCCGGTCCGAGCACACGTGCAGTGAGTCACCCGCTGACTCGCAGGAGTGAACTGGTGCACCCCCTGATCCTGGAGGTCAGCTCCACTCACCAAGTTCGTAGAGAACGAGGGGAGGTAAAGACCTGACAGCAAGCCAGACGGGGCGGCCGGACACGGCAGAACCGTGGAGTAGTGGGCAAGGACTGGACCCCCAGAGGGGTCCGCCAGGGAGACTGCAACCGGCCGACTAAGCGGCGTGAGTGTGGTGCAGTCGCGAAAGAAGGAGCGGGAAGCACCTGAGTCAAGCGTGAAGGTGTACAAGGCCGCAGCAGGCGCAGAACTAGAGAGAGCAGACTCACCAGCACCTGGAGCAGGAGACGTACCGGCACCTAGAGCAGCAGCCTCACCAGCACCCAGAGGAGGAGACGCACGAGCACCTAGGGCAGCAGCCTCACCAGTACCGGGAGCAGCAGGTGCTATACCAGGGTCAGGCGGGACGCACAGGTAACAGGCACGGTCAACACTAGTAGGCAATGCATACATGGCAGTGAGAATAGCATCATAGTCAGGAGCAAAGATATCTACCCTCTGTCCAAGCAGCTCCAGCCAGTCGGGGAGCTCAGCCTCGTCGCCAAACACTGTACGCCAGTCGTCGCTCAGACGGGCGAAGCAGCGGGACTGTGTGTGACCAAGCGTCCCGCAAGGCTGACCAGTCCTATCACCGGTGCGAATGACGTACTGGCAGCGAACTGTACGCGTAGACCTGCTACACTGAGCGTACCACTCGTGGAGCTGCCGGGACGTAAGTGTCTCGCGTGGGCGCCGCTGCAGCTGCAGCTGGCCACTGCTAGAGGCCCCCAACTGACCAGCTCCAGGGCGACAGCTACGACGGCTACCACGACAGCCCCAACTAGTATACCACTCACTAAGCTGCTGGGGCGTGAGAGACTCGCGTGAGCGTTGCTGGAGCTGCATCTGGTCCCTTGCTAAGAGCTAGCAGCAGCAGCAGCTCGGGCAGGGCAGGCGCGGCAGGCCGGCAGACAGACAGGCAGGCCGGCAGGCAGGCAGGCAGGCAGGCAGGCAGGTAGGCAGGCAGGCTGACAGGCAGACAGGCCGGCAGGCAGGCAGGCAGACTGACAGGTAGGCAGGCAGGCCAGCAGGTAGGCAGGCAAGCCGACAGGCAGACAGGCCGGCAGGCAGGCAGGCAGGCAGGCTGGCAGGCAGGCAGGCAGGCAGGCAGGCTGGCAGGCAGGCAGGCAGGCCAGCAGGCAGGCAGGCAGGCCGACAGGCAGGCAGGCAAGCAGACAGGCAGGCAGGCAGGCAGGCAGGCTGGCAGGCAGGCAGCTGGCAGGCAGGCAGGCAGCTGGCAGGCAGGCCGGCAGGCAGGCAGGCAGGCAGGTGCTCACCAAAGGCTGGAAGAGTGAGTGCTCGCCGGGCGAGCAGGGCCGAGTAGGCGCACGACTGCAGCGACGGTGGAGCCGTAACAGCGACTGCAGAGTAGGGCCGCAGCAACTGCAGGGTGGGGCCGCTTCAGCGGCAGTCGCAGAGTGGGGGCCGCATCAGCGGCAAGTCGGGGCCCCGGGAGCTGCAGCGCGGGGCCGCAGCAGTGGAAGGTCGGGGCCGATGCAGCTGCAGGCTATGCAGTGCAGCGCGCGCGGCTGCTGTGGGCTGTGCGCGGGCTGCGGGAGGCAGAAGCAGGCCGCGCGCAGCAGCAGCAGGCCGCGCGCAGCTCAGCAGGGGCTGCGCGCGGAAGCAGGAGGCCGCACGCGGCTCGGCAGGGGCTGCGCGCGGCTCGGGGGGGGTCGCGCGCGGCAGCAGCGGGCTGCGCGCGGCTCGGCGGGGCTGCGCGCAGCTGAAAAAGGGCCGCGCGCGACTTGACAGGGCTGCGCGCAGCCAAAAACGGGCCGCGCGCGGCTCGAATAGGCTGCGCGCAGCAAGAAACGGGCTGCGCGCGGCTCGACGGGGCTGCGCGCGGCTCGGCGGGGACACGCGCGCCAGATCCGGGCTGCGCGCGGCTCTATGGGGCTGCGCGCGGCTCTATGGGGCTGCGCGCGGCTCTATGGGGCTGCGCGCGGCTCTATGGGGCTGCGCGCGGCTCGGCAGGGCTGCACGCGGCTCGACGGGGGTGGTGCGCCGCGATGACGGTGTGTGAGAGGCAGCAGAGCGGCGCGAGCAGCGAGGGACAGTAGCAGGCAGCGTGCTTGACGTAGGTCTGCGCGGTAGCAGCAGCAGACGGCACAGTAGGCAGCAGGCAGTAGGCTACAGGCAGACGGCGCGCGCAGCGCAGCACGTCACAGGCACAGGCACAGGCGTGGGGTAGCGGTAGGTGGGCCCGGAAAAAAAAAACGGTCCTACGGACCTACTGCTCTGAAACCATGTCAGAATCCCAGCCACTAACCACTGGGATAAAAGGGCTTGTTTGTGTAGCGGGTGAGTGCGCCCATAACCCCCCAGGCCGCCATGCCTGTAACCCTTCCCTAGGATCAATCGGGGATCACCAGTGGACCTCTGACATGTACAGACTAGACCCTGGCTCACGTGTGAACGTGGCCAGGTGGCGGCCGGTCTTGGAGCATGTACAGATCGCCACACGCTGTCCTCCAGGAGTCCAGGTGTCAACCCAGTGATCCTGAAGGACGGCGTTGCTCACCAGGTTTGTAGAGAACGAGGGAACATGGAGACCAGACAGCTCACCAGACGGGACCGCTGGGCACGGAAGCACAGTCGCGGCCCGTGCAAGCACTGGACCCCCAGAGGGGTCAGCCAGTGAGACAGGAACAGGTGCAGGGAGAGGGGTGACAGTGGTGCTGTCGCGAAAGAAACAGCGCGAAGCACCAGAGTCAAGTGTGAACGTGTGCAAAGCCTGAGCGGACGCAGTACCAGGGAGAGCAGACTCACTAGCACCTAGGGCTGCAGTCTCTATACCTGGGTCAGGCGGCACACACAAGTAACAGTCACCCTCAGCACTAACAGTCAATGCATACATAGCAGCAAGAATAGCATCATAGTCCAGATCAAAGATAGGAACACCACGCCTAAGCAGATCTGCCCAGTTGGGGAACTCAGTAGCATCAGGATACTTTGCGCGCCAGGCGTCACTAAGCCTAGCGAAGCAGCGGAACTCGGTGTGAAAACCGTCGCAGGTGCGACCCTGGCGGGGACCTGTGCGAATGACATAGGGGCAGCGGTCAGAGCCCCTAGACGCCCCACGCCCAGCATACCAGTCATGGAGCTGCTGGGAGGTGGGAGGCGGACGCTGCTGCTGCTGCTGGCCGCCCCCAGCGCCACCCTTTTGGCCAGATCCACCCCCACCCCCACCTCCACCACCAGTGCCGCTGCCTCCTCCCCCACCACCTCCGTTGCCGCCACCACCGCCCCCAGTCCTGCCACCACCCCACCCCCCACCTCCACTCCCACGGCCACCCCCACCACCGCCGCCACCCCCGCCACCTCCACCACCGCCCCCACCGCCGCCACCTCCGCCACCCCTGCCCCCCTTGCCCCCCTTGCCTCCGCCGCGCTTCCCACCAAGAGCAGAAGCGGCGTGGACCTTCTTAGCGCCGAGAAGGTCAACAGCAGCAGCAGCAGAGGCATAGGAGGGGGTAAGAGGGGAGGGGGAGCATCCCTCAAAGAGGGGAGTGCGGGGAGTGCCACGAGCAGCATTCACAGCAAGAATGTTCTTCTCAGCTGCAACTAGCTGCTGCTCGAAGTCATCTAGGGTGATGGTGGGAGGATCTTTGGCGAGGAAATAGTCCCTAACGGAACGGAGCGTGTCGGGAAGGCGGGTGACTAGGATGTAGAGGGTAAAGTACAGGGGGGGTTTGTTCTCGGCGAGGAACTCGTCAGAGAGAGCGGCACGAAAGCGAGCGTCACTAGTGCGGAGGTGAGAGATGAGGTCTGCAGCAGTGGAAAACGAGGCGAGGTCGGGGAAAAGGTAGGGTAGGATGAGGCTACCAACGGCGGCAGTGGCTGGGGCGGAATAGCGGGCAACTACTGCGTCAAACAGTTCCTTAGCAGTCTTAAGCTGGTTGAAGTGTGCGCGCTCGGAGATAGGCAGGTGGTTGCGAATAGCTAGGCGGGCAAGGGCATCACGGGTCTGCCATTCAGCGCGTTCAGAGGCAGGAGCAGTAGCAGCGGGAGCAGGGGCAGTGCCATTGACATAGTCTAGCAGGGAGGCTCCGTCCTTGGTATTGGTCAAAAGGTAAAGCTGCAGGTCACTGAGCCAGGTGTCAAACTGAACAAGACTGCCGCCAAGCTCAAAGTCGAGAACAGAAATAGTCGCCATGGTCACAGGGCGGGGAAATGCAGCAGGCACAGGCTCAGGCTCAGGCTCAGGCGCAGGCAGCAGGCAGGCTCAGGCAGCTGGCAAAGGCTGCAGGCTCAGGCTCAGGCTCAGGCGCAGGCAGCAGGCACAGGCTCAGGCTCAGGCTCAGGCGCAGGCAGCAGGCAGGCTCAGGCAACAGGCTCAGGCAGCAGGCAGAGCCATTAGGGAAAGACAGCAGGCAGGCGCAGGTGAGGCAATATGGTGGCGCCGGCAACCGATGGCAGGCTTAGGCAGGAGGCTTAGGAAGCAGTCTCTTAGAGCAGGCAGGCGCTCAAGGCAGGCAGGGTTGCTGCACACGGGCGGCGGTGGCGCACAGGCAGGGCAGGGCACGTGCGGCTGCGAGCTGCGCGTGGGCTGAGAGAGCGCGGCACGGGCTGCACGGGCTGCACGCGGGCTGCGCGGGCTGCGCGCGGGCTGCGCGGGCTGCGCGTGGGCTGCGCGTGGGCTGCGCGCGGCTCGGCGCGGGCTGCGCGGGCTCGACGCGGGCTGCGCGGGCGGTGCGCGGGGCAGCTGCAGGCCGGGTGCAGGCTGCGCGGGCTCAGGGCGGGCTGCGCGGGCGTCTAGTAGGGCGCGACGTGGCTGGCTGCAGTGGCGCGCGCTAAAAAAAAAGCTATGGGCGCGCGCGGGCAGTAGGCAAATCTGATAATGCCGTAGGTAAGATAACACGATAATCGGTGGGCCCTAATCTTAGGTCCTAAGACCTACTGCTCTAGATACCATCTTAGAACTTAGTCTAGGAAGGAATGGTTCGATTAGGTCAAAGGGGGGGGTACAAGGAGAATGTCGAGGGAAATTTTGTACCCCCTAGTGCTACCCCACTACAGCCTAGACAAACCCAACATATAAATATAGTTTGACAAGGTGCTGTGCCTGAGGGTGCTGCTACTGGAGACACTGCGGCTGGAGACCCTGGGACTGGGGGTGCCGGTCCTGGGGGTGCTGCTGCTGGAGCTACTCAGGCTGGAGACCCTAGGAGTGGGGGTGCCGGTTCTGGGGGTGCTACTGCTGGTGGAGCTTGTCCTGGAGGTGCTCATGCTGGAGGTTCTGGAGCTGCTGGAGGCACTGGAGCTACTGGTGCTGGTGGCACTGCACAGCCGCGACTGTTCTTCGCTCCGCCGTCTTCGTCGTCTCAGCCACCACCTGACTCTGTGCTTCGCCAGGTTCTTAGCCTCCCGTCTTCTACCGGTCTTCCGTTACACCCTGGCTCGCCACTGCCTGCTCCTTCTTCTTACACTGAGCACATATGGGGTCTTGCTGAGCGTCGTGAGCCTGCGTCGCGTCCTGTCTCGCCTGTTTGTTCTGGTCGTCCCGGTCATCGTGTTCCTCGTCCGCGTCCGCCGGCTGTCCCCGGTGCGCACCTCGTAGCCCTGCGTCCTTCCTCTGCTCCGCAGCGTGTTCCTCTGCCGTCTCCCCCTGCGTCCTCTCCGTCTGCCCTTGCGGACCCTGAGTCTGACCAGTTTCTTGCTGCGCACCCTACTGTCATGCTGCCCTCTGCATAAGAGCGCGGGGTCGGGATGTCTGGTGCATCCAGGTCTCCCTCAGGGGCAAGCAGCATGGCCACAAGATGAGGTACAGCAGCTGCAAGACACTCAAAGTCCTCCTGCCTGTCCTCAAGGACGTCCGTGCCAAAAGCACACTCACCCTCGACGGACGGAGGACAGACAGACTCAAACCCAGCAACTAGACTGGCAGCGCAGTCGAGACGACAACCAACAACAAAGTCAACAAGCTCAGCGACTAGGGCAGACGCAGCAGCAGACTCAAACGACAGGTCAGTGACAACAGTGGCTAACGGACTCGTGACAGTAGGGTGAGCAGCACAAACCAGGTCAGACTCAGGGTCCGGAACGTGCGGAAGAGAGGACTCAGGAGGAGACGGCAGGGGAACACGCTGTGGAGCAGAGGAAGGACGAAGTGCCATAGTGTGAGTGCCTGGGATAGGAGGAGGACGCTCACGAGGAACACGACGACTAGTGCGACTAGTGCGAGCAGGCGAGGCAAGACGAGATGAGATGTAGGCTCACGACGCTCTGTAAGCGAGTCTGTCTGCTCAGTGTAAGGAGGAGGAGCAGGCAGTGGGGAGCCTGGCTATAACAGGAGGCTAGTAGAAGACGGGAGGCTAAGAACCTGGCAAAGCACCGAGTCAGGCGGTGGCAGAGACGACGGTGACGGCGGAGCGAAGAACAGCCGCGGCTGAGCAGTGCCACCAGCACCAGTAGCTCCAGCGCCCACAAGAGCTCCAGAACCTCCAGCACCAGCGCCTCCAACGCCAGCACCACCAACTACATCACCACCACTAGGAGCACCCCCAGAACCGGCACCTCGAGCCCCAAGGTCTCCAGCCCTAGTGCCTCCAGCAGCAGCACCCCCAGAACCGGCACCTCCAGCTCCAGGGTCTCCAGCCCCAGTACCTCCAACAGGAGCACCCCCAGAACCGGCACCTCCAGCTCCAGGGTCTCCAACTACAGGGTCGACAGGACCGGCTCCAGGGCCTCCAGCTCCAGTGCCTCCAGCTCCGGCACCTCCAGCAGCAGCGTCTCCAGCTCCAACAGTGCGACTCCGAAGGCGGGTGCGCGAAGCAAGCCACTCCCGAAGCTGTTGCGGCGAGAGAGGTGACCTCTGCGACGCGGCACCAAGAGGACCTCCAGCAGACTCAGCACCCCTAGGCTCAGCACCAGCAGACTTCCAGGGCCAGCACCACCAGTCCCGGTAGCTCGAGTACCTCCGGTACGAGCACCTCCATAAGCAGAAATTCCAGCACTCCCAGCGCCGGGGCCTCCAACTCCAGGGGCGACAGCACCAGCTCCAGGGCCTCCAGCCCCAGTACCTCCAGCAGTAGCACCAGTAGCAGTGGCAGTAGTAAGAGCAGCAGAGCGGCTCGGTGAGGCTAGGCTGCAGCATCTCCAGCACTCCTAGCAGCACCTCCACCAGCAGCAGCAGTAGCACGAGCAGCAGGGCGGATCGGGTAGGGCAGGGCGGCCCGGGCTGGGCGACGCGGGCAGCAGGGTGCGCGCCGTGCAGGGCAGCAGGGCGCACGACGGGCAGAAAACCGCCGTGCGCCCCGAGCTCGCGGCGGGCAGAAAACCGCCATGCGCCCCGAGCGCGTGGCGGGAAGAAAAGCAACATCGCGCGCCACGGGGCGCGCGACAGACAGGACAGCAGCGGAAGCAGGTGGGCCCACAGGCCAGGAGCATACTCGCTCTGATAGCATGTCAGAACAGTAGCTAGAAAGTTAGAACAGAAGAAGAGGGTTTTTCACTAGCAGCAGATAGGATACATATAGCAAACCCTAATTTGGGCTGTACTCACTATAGAGTACCCCACTGCAGACTGGTCAATTATAGCATTCTGACATGGGCTACCCCACTATAGCCTACACAGAACACACCCTTGCTCGATGAATGTTTGTGGTGGTGTGCCCGACATTAGCTGCTCCGATTCTCTGGTAACTTTGCCGAGAAGCCGAATCTCCGTGGCTCGATAAGAGCGTCTTCCAACGGCCTCCTGTCAGGCCAACCTGATATCAGCTTCAGCAAGACTCGAGATTTTCGTTATAATTCACTGATCTCATGAACAAATAATCTTATATTGCGCAACTGGATTTCCCGCGCGAAAACTTTCAGACGTGGCGCAACAGAAATCCACGTCAATCCATCACCGTGAAAATGCGAGAGCGCAGCTGTGTTTTGTCGAGTATCGGGCTGCCACACCAAATTCGCGCGGATTGACTCAGTTGACTGGTTCCTTGATTTTGTTTCAAACCGAGACAGAAGAACTACACTTCCGTACCCCAATGTTTCGTGCCACATCAGCCACGCATTTTCGCTCGCTCTATGCAAAGCCACCGAGAATATCATTTTAAACAGTCAGCTTCAGCCGAAATGTCAGTGATTCATGCAAGCCTGATAATAGGTTGGCCTGATAGGGGCCCGTAGGAACACGCTCTAATGCTCCCTCATTTGGGAGGATTCTCCTCTGTGTGGGCTGTATTGTAGTGGTGGGCTGTGCTGTCAGCTTGTACTCTCTTGGTGGGTCTCCGGTTTCTGAAGTAGCTTCCTATTCCTTCATTCTTTATTCTTGGTGGGCTGCTTGGTGATACATGTAGTAATGCCTTCAAAATAAATACCTACACATCTGCCAAAAATGCCACATGACATGGAGATATATGCAAACAAGGAAATATGCAATAAAAAATCAAATGAAGCCAAGATTCAAGTGTTTCGTGCAAGTCTGATATGAGGCCGTACGAACGAACACGCTCTCACCTGCCTCTCTTTTTCGTAAACAGTTAGGTGACTCATTTTGTAATCTCTTCCAAACTGCCCTGTTTGCTCAGTTAGCCCTCAACGGAACTGCCTTGCCTATCTAGTTCAGGGTTTAAATAATCTATCATCTACCTACGGTAAGTGCTTCCCTTACTGTATGGTATCTGCATATCATACCCTCCAATACCCATACTGGCTACTCTATAGCATACCCCTACCACAACCATACTACTGAAGAAATTGTATACCGCCATACTAGAAACTACCACCCCTCTTTATTGCTGCTGCATCTGTCAAACTATGCATATTGTGTTTGTGTAGGCTGCTAGTGGGGTAGCCCATATGGGGTACAACCCAATGTTAGGGTTAGCTTATGTACCCAACTCTTGATCAATGCATCATCCTTGTCTCTAGATTCTAACATGGTTTCAGAGCAGTAGGTCCGTAGGACCGTTTTTTTTTTCCGGGCCCACCTACCGCTACCCCACGCCTGTAGCCTACTGCCTGCTGCCTACTGTGCCGTCTGCTGCTGCTACCGCGCAGACCTACGTCAAGCACGCTGCCTGCTACTGTCCCTCGCTGCTCGCGCCGCTCTGCTGCCTCTCACACACCGTCATCGCGGCGCACCGCCCCCGTCGAGCCGCGTGCAGCCCTGCCGAGCCGCGCGCAGCCCTGCCGAGCCGCGCGCAGCCCCAT